CTTGAGGGCTACTAGCTGTAGAAAATGTGATGTACCCATGTATACCGTAACCGTTGTGGTATTTTCAGAAGGCCACTCAAGCTTCCTTTGGTAGAAATGGTACCACTTTTGTTTCTCTTTTGTCTTGCAGCACCTTGTGATATGTTCTGACTGTCCTTCTGTTATGCTACCTAGCAGTGATTTTTACAGTCGTGCACATTCACAAATGGCTTAAGTGACTTGTAACTCTCTGCGGCAATTACACTAGATAAAGAGCCACCCCATGTCTACAATGCTGAGAATGCAAAGTCTGCTGGAGAAAAACTAACGCAGAAATTAGACTGTATGCCGAATGGCAGCATGGTTCTCACACATTTTTGAGAGTGCTTGTCATTCCGCAGCAGTCTCGGGCAGCAGCAGGAGCTGTCAGCCTGCAGCAGGCTGGTTGGACCACGAGTGTTGCCCTGCCAGGGGCAGACAGGCATTACCTGGCATGCAAGGGCCTGCTGGGTGCCACAGTTCCTTGTCACTGTTAGCTCACTCTTAGACACCGCTGTGAGGCTCTTTTTGCTGTCCTTAAACACCTGCAGCCGTGAAGACTTCACAATAAATAATGTTTCATTTAAAGTGTTGGCTTGATCCCCTATACTTCTGTTATTCAGAACTCCTTGCTACTTGTAACAGGGTCATGTCCCTGGATATATTTTAACCACTGTGAAAGTTTTTTGTCCAGAAATAGCTTGTGTCCATCACAAGAGAATCGGTATGCTCATAAAGGGAAACACAGGTTCTCTGCTTAGTCTATAAGCAGACCCCTGAGTGTCCCCAGGAGTTCTCTCTCTTTATTCTGCAGGTCGGAATGAGGAATGCTGCTGTATTAATATCATGATATTTGCATTGCTTTTAAGTTTCTTGATTGAAAAGCTCTATCTACTGCTTTTTCAGCATTAATTGCCTGGTAGCAACTTTGGGAGACAAGTGTCTGAGGTTATAATGATTTCCATGGCAAGTAGCTGTAAACACCATAGCCTTCCATGTCACTAAACAAGAAGGGAGATTCCAGACAGATAGGAAGTAGGGTTTTTTGGGCCCTGGTAGGATAAAAGTCTCTGTATGGAGAGGATAATGGTAAGTAACTCTGCAGAAAAGCGCTGGAGAACAGAGAACAGGGATTCTTTTACAAAGCTATGGTGGACTATATAAATAAAATTGAGAAGGTGTTGGCAGCAGTTTCTTAATTAGACTTGCTAAGATTCTTTGTTTGGAACAAAATTAAAATATCTTTATCACAGGAGAAATAGAATTTGGGGTTCATCTATGATGCTGTCGCTACTTATGCTACTTCATGCAGGCATAGCCATGACCACAAATTCTACCTGAGAAGCTGGTTAAATGTTGCATCAGTTAGCACATACAGACTTCAGAGATGGATGTAGCCAAACCAGCTTTAATCTACCTATGAGTTGCAGTCCAGGGAGATACTTAGATGCATTTTGCTCTCTGAAGGACACTGGACTTTTCTGGATAATGTAATCCAAACTTTACTAAAGAAACAAATAAATAAATAAAAAAGTTAATATGCTCTGCAGTTTCACATCATCTGTTTTCCCCATGACTGCATGTCTTTTAAAAAGTACAATTATGAGCACAATTTGGGGATGGAGCTTGTCCCATTTCTTTTAGAAATAATTTTCCTTGTTTGCTACCCTCTGATCCGGCATGTGTGGAAAAAGGTTGAGTGGGTATCTTGCATGAACAAATTCTGTCTGACTGTAGTAGTGAGGAACTACCACCCACACGAAGGGAGGGAAGGCATTTCCCAGCTCCTCAGCCCAGTTTGTCAGTATGGTTTGTCTGGATGACAGTGGATTTCCTGGGACTCTGTCTATAGCTAGCTGAGTGACAGCATTTCTATTGATGTCACTGGACTTTGGATTAGGCTCATACTCATCCAGCCCCTTAAGACTTTTCTCCTTCTGCTCTGACACAACTACCGTACCCCTAGGACTAGTGAGAGTCACTAAGGATTGTCAGTAGTACTCCTGGACTGACAGACTGTGAAGGCGAAGGCAAACCACAGGAGACTTGCCAAACTGAGGACATACCTTTATAGATAGTCCAGCTGTATGATACT